ACACAGTAAGGTTAAACCGTGTCCAACAGACAAACTGAGGTGGCTATCTCCCATCAAGGCAGCTCTGTTTTTAAGCGCATAGTTATGTTTTTACATATTGAAATAAAAGGAATTTAAAAAATCATATTTAACAAACCTACACATTACCAAATACAAAACTTTATAACCCTTTCTAGACTTCGTTCCAATTAACCTGGATCATTCAACTCGCTCGCGAAGGTCGTATGCGACTTTAAAGTGAATACGTCTACAGTGTACAAGTAACTTTTAACTGTATCATATATACTCACGACAAGAAATTATTTTCGTTCCTAATTCGAATGAGCACATTCTGAGGCTAAATCTGCAAAAGGACAGATAAAATATTTCTTTGTACAATGCAAACGATCGGACGTAGCGGCTGATAATAGAGACAATGATTTAATAATCTGCAATATATCAAGTGTTCTCGTTCAATCTATTGTACATATTGAAGTGATTGTAAAGTTTCAAGGAGTACTAAAATGTTGTGGTATTATGAATGTATTTAGAATATGAATAGCGAAAAACAGTCACCATATCGGATGTACATGTATAACTTGTCTTCCAACACCACGCTTGTGCCGAGGCCCATGGTCATAAAACTAATCGGTCCCATAAAAGGAGCAAATAGTTTCGCAGATACTTCTTGCTATGGTTCACTCCCAATTGTCAGACGACCTAATCATCAGTCAGACCAGTCAAGTGTGACCAGCGTACCTGTCTGGTTTTGGCTCCTAATTACTGAACTGCCCAATACTGTCATACTGTGGGTAGAGTAAGCGGCCTCGTTGAGTGATACAGACTAACCAGATTATGATTGTGTTTGTAAGTTGCGTTTAATCTGTGTCGGGTTGCAGTTGTTTTATTAGTCAAGACTAGGGGTAGTTTTTTCAATGAAACCTTTTAGCCGTTGAGTTTGTTTTGCATTCATTTCATTAAATACATTGTTAGGTAGAATAATAACACGTTATATGGATTAAACATCTCCCTAATCTGAGTATAATCTCACATGTACTCTAAGTACCGTACTATATTACTTTGCGGAGACACTGAGTATAATTTTTAGGTGGCATTGTATGCTGTCTGATGACTTTATACAAATCCCTGCATTCAATAGACCCGTGAAGATCTTCAACAAACCATTCTTGGCGTAAAAGGGCGACAGCGCTTGTCGTAAGAAGCGACTACCGGGATCGGGTGGTCAGGCTCGCTGACTTGGTTGATGCATGTCATCGTATCCCAATTGCGTGGATCGATGCACATGATGTCAATCACTGGATTGTCTGGTCCAGACTCGATTATTTACAGACCGCCGTCATACAGCTGAAATATTGCTAAGTGTGGCGTTATACAACTAACAAACAAACAAAACACAAAAAGAGAAAGTGTATGAGTACTAAAACTTGCACTAGATATGCGTACGCTACGTACACACATGAGTCCCATTCGACAGTCTACAACACACGAATAACTGTCAAACAAGTTTGGGTACCCCTTCTGTTCAGGCAAGTTATTTAGTTCGATTAATTTTGTATTAAAATCCTTTTCAATTTGTTTTCATCCTTTGTCCCTATTCCATGCATGTTTATGTTGCTACATCTTATTGCTCATGTTTCCAAGTATTGTAAAACACTTTAATGTTTCTCCTTCTTAATCTAACGTTATAACATTTCCGGTCATTGCCATCATCTAATACACAAGAGATGATACCAAGACATATTTTGTTCGGTTTTATGGTCTATGCGGTCTTACAATTGATTTTATTAGTCTTTAAATCTTATGTCTAGTAAATATTTTCACAAACAGGGCTGTTAACTGATATACGGAATGTGACATCCAGTTGAGGACTGAATACGACGTACGTTAGTCTGGTAACGACATTTCTACAATAATTTGTTGAATAAACCGTTAATACGCCAGTTGTGACAGGGATGATGGTATGGTAGATGTAGCAGACATATTGACAGCCGTTGTTACGAGAGTCACTAGGTTATTAGTACGGCATTGGCCTTGTTGATTGGTACTATACTTTCTGTGGCCACTGGCGGACGTAATTCAAACTCCTTCCACACTGACATCGCACCAACTATATTTGTGTACCGATTACATAACTCTTACTGACAGGGTAGGGTGGTAGTTCACGCGAAACGGACGACACTGTGTATATTGAGCGGCTCCTTTGATATCGCCTCACAACATACTTTTAATGAAAGACCAATTAAACGATGATACACATCAGGATCGCGGAGAAAATACAAGCATCGTTCGCGTTGAATATATATATCAAGGCACAAATTCATCTTTCATAAACTTTTTGTGTCTTGGTGCTTAATATATCCACATATCAACGAAAATATGTAATACATGTATCCACAAAAATATACATGTACAGGCTAGGTATTTGCCCACAGCAACACCTGCATAACTGTTTATTCACGCGTGGTGTGGCAGATTGTAATTGACTGACAACAAGTATTGTAGAATCACCTGTAAATAAGGCCGACACTGTAATTAGACACAACGTACTAATGAGAATATGAGAATTATCATAAGAAGGCTGTTACGTTTTTCTTAACTATTACCATTTTCATACCAAAAGTGACAATGCAGTTAAAAGTTGCTTTAGTGTCACAATATTCACTCACGTTTTCCTCAATCGCATTGAAACATAATTCCTACTGGTCAGTTCGACACTGCTTGTAATTAAATAATTATTTCGAGATTTCGTTAGAATGTAAGATATTCAGCCAAACGTTATGCAATAAAAGACGAATAGTTTTTTTCATTAAAATACGCGCACGCGTACCTGTATATTGCATACCTAGTGTCACGTAATTGCCCAATGTGATGTATCAACGGGACATAAAAAACGGGAAATGAAATATAAACTAACTAAAATTTAATGTTGTGGAAAATAACTCCAATGAATTGGAGTACACGCACATGAATTCGTATGATAAACTGTCAAAACGTTTTGAGAGGTAAGGCCGGGTTCATTAAAGATCGCTATAAAAACATGAGTTTTGAGTAAAGGAACATGTTCTCGCCCATGGGCCTGCCCATGGGCCAAACCTTTTTCTCGCCCATGGGCGAAATATTTCAATATCGCTATAAAATCGTTGAATTAAGTTAAAATGAGTTAAATTTTGTGTCATGATACTTCAATAAATACATTTAATGTATTTGCGAAACAAAATCATGAGTTTTAAGTAAAGGAACATATTCTCGCCCATGGGCCAAACCTTTTTCTCCCCCATGGGCGAAATATTTCAATATCGCTATAAAATAGTTGAATTAAGTTAAAATGAGTTAAATTTTGTGTCATGATACTTCAATAAATACATTAAATGTATTTGCGAAACAAAATCATGAGTTTTAAGTAAAGGAACATATTCTCGCCCATGGGCCAAACCTTTTTCTCGCCCATGGGCGAAATATTTCAATATCACTATAAAATCGTTGAATTAAGTTAAAATGAGTTAAATTTTGTGTCATGATACTTCAATAAATACATTAAATGTATTTGCGAAACAAAATCATGAGTTTTAAGTAAAGGAACATATTCTCGCCCATGGGCCTGCCCATGGGCCTACCCATGGGCCAAACCTTTTTCTCGCCCATGGGCGAAATATTTCAATATCGCTATAAAATCGTTGAATTAAGTTAAAATGAGTTAAATTTTGTGTCATGATACTTCAATAAATACATTTAATGTATTTGCGAAACAAAATCATGAGTTTTAAGTAAAGGAACATATTCTCGCCCATGGGCCAAACCTTTTTCTCGCCAATGGGCGAAATATTTCAATATCGCTATAAAATCGTTGAATTAAGTTAAAATGAGTTAAATTTTGTGTCATGATACTTCAATAAATACATTAAATGTATTTGCGAAACAAAAACATGAGTTTTAAGTAAAGGAACATATTCTCGCCCATGGGCCTGCCCATGGGCCTGCCCATGGGCCTACCCATGGGCCAGACTTCGCCCATGGGCAGGCCCATGGGCCACACTTCGCCCATGGGCAGGCCCATGGGCGACATAATCTAAATATTGAGTTTTTAAACAATTTTATTTTCATTTATTCTTCCTTGGTATGTTCCCATGAAAACGGCATGTTTAATTTTGTAAATACCTTTAACCGAGACTGGGGAAAGAGCGTAGAGTTTCTGGACTTTTGGGTTTCCAGAATTAAAATGGGACGTGTTATCACATCTCATTGCCGTGTCTTATGGTTTCAATAAAAGGCGGCATGTGTCATACTTATATGTATAATAGTTTCTTTCTCCTTTGTATACTGATATGTTCAAAGTTGGGTTTTTTCGGGTTTTAATGTCGCTTAATTCAAAAGTCAGCAATAATCCAGCTATATCACGGTGTAAGGAATCCTGTAAGGAATCGTTTCTGGTCCAGACAAACTAGATTGGGAACGGGAGTACGATGAAACACTTCGTCAACCGTGTCATCGAGTCTGTCACTTATATATTTCTGTCGCTTATGACAAGCAGATATTTCTAACAGTCTCACAAGAAAAGACGGACTTGTGACACTCCGTGTTTTTGTCACTTTCTGTCTTACTGTTATGTGCATAGTTTACTTCTACCACGAACCAGTGGAACATAGTGGATTCATCCTCAGTAAGTTCCTGCAGAAATCACCGACTATATGTTGATGTGATTTATCTTGACGTACAAAAGTCGCTATCAATTGGTGATGATACAAGGTGTTCGCAAGAAGATGAGCGTGCCATACAATGGTGTCAAACGTGCGTAATATAGTTCAAATCAACCATCGGCCTTTCAGCAAGTACATACAATATTACGTTGTATTATTGATATCATTTGACATGCCACATGTTTACAAAATCGATGGGAATGACACTTCACCATATAGAATAGGCGACTACTCTCAGTGGTAAAACATCACGTGGACCAATCAGAAGGCCGTTATTTGGAGGTATCTATATAAGTTGCCATCGATACTGAAACAGCGTCAGTTGCAAGTACACTCTGGGTCTCGCATCACAGTGACAATGAACGTCTTGGTTTCAACTGCTGTAGTTTGCCTGATTGTCAGTGCAGTGCACGTCACTGCAAACCTTGGCGGCAGCAGCTTACTTGGTTACATAAAGATTTACAGTCCTGGTAAATCTAATAACAGCACAGGTACTGGATTCCCAAGTAAGTCCTTACAATATTCGAGTTTGGGGCTAACCATACCAGTTTTAGTTTTTTGTTTTAGTGATACTACCAGTTGCTTCATTATAATATATACATATACGGCTCTTTCGGTTTCAAATTCAATTTCAGAAACGCGCGGTGCCTCTTGCAAAAACGTTTCTCAGACACCGCATTTGCACATATGGCATATCGAAGTGAAGCTGAGTCTTTGAGCCACCCGGAAGTATTATCAGAACTGACTTGACTGTCGCTGAATCAACCTGTTCAAGCTTCACATCGCTCTCGCTTTTCGCACATTGACGATAGAGCGATAGTTAAGTCCAATGTTCCAGCGTTCATGTCATATGTGACATGTGTGCGTGTGTCGTCACGTTTTCCTGTACCGAGAGAAGCCAGAAGCGCGTGACGGACACGGACGGAGCACGGATTCCATAACCAATAGATCAACTCCGTGGTCTGGTGGATAGAGCGTCTGCCCGGCGACCGTACCAAAAACATGGTACTTGTTGTTTTCCCGCCTGGCGCCCGGCATTAAGGGGATAAAACTAGGACTGGTCGGCCCGGAGTCTGAGTGGGGTATCCATGTTAAACTAGCCGGTGTCTCACTAGATGTCTCACTAGGTAGGCTAGCACTATAAAGCCGTCGCTAGTCCGAACTAGCACAAGCGGCTACACACTCGCACGCACGCACGCACACATGCATGCAGATCGCTATATAAGTGCAGTAATCTTGAAAGCGACGTTAAACCCAATTTCACCACCTCACCATAACTAATAAGGTTTCAAACGTGCATCTCCCAACTTGCCAACTTGTATGAGGCGTAGAGATATCACAATACAGCCAAGGACGAGGCCTATTTGGGAATCATTCGAGACCAACTCGTCCCATTCCTGGGCAAGCCGAATGTAGACTAGTGTCCCTCTCGAAGGTTTCCATATTGGCGTATGAACATGAGAACTACTTCAAACAAGAACGAAAACTCTTATTCTACCCGCGACTTCGAGGACAGTTGATATAGACGTTTCTCGCTTACTCCTGTTGTGAAAGTGTTGAACCTCTCTTTTATAAATACTAGTATATTCTTTTGTACAAATGTATATTTAGCAAGCCATTGAACTCATTCATTCTCAGCTGTTCATCTTTTATTTGCAAAGTATTAATGCTTATATAAGATATTAAAATTTCTTAAATACGAAAATCACCTTCGTCTTGTAAGTTATTTTACTGACAAGATGAAGGTGATTTTCGTATTTAAGAAATTTCAACAAAGAGATTCTCAGACTTATTTAGTTAAACGTGGCAAATTTGACATTGTCTTTTCAATGCTTGAAACGACATTTTTAAATAACTCATTTATGTCATGACTGAATCTGGCCTTTTTGGACAGCGTTAACAAATACAATACACATGTTATATGGATGAATTACAAATAAATTATGAAGGAGTGCCATATCTACCATGTCTTAAAGATGTATAGAAGTGTTTACAAACACATACCAGCAACATAGTGAGACCATGTTAATATTTAAATCCCTTGGGGATCCCCAAGTACCGCTATGCCTGTCGTAAGAGGCGGCTCGGTGAATGGGGTGGTCAGACTCGGTAACTTGGTTGACTGGTGCCAACGTATCTCGACCGCGTGGATCGTTGCTTCAAATATCAATTACTGGCCTCGATTATATACGAGCAGCCGTCATATAGGTGGAATATTGCTTACTGTGGCGTTTAACAACAAACAAGCTTTAATATTCAAGTCTCTTATAAATTTAAGTGTTAAACAGGAAGAATTACAATTATGTAAGACATGTACATATTCAACATGAACGTATTCTTCTTGATACGCTGTGAAGTGGTAGATAACTTGAATGATGTTCATTGACAATGTTTGTACAACATATAAGCTAAATAAGATCTTTATATATTTATTTTAAATGAATAAATGTTTCAATATCATGTGCATGTGTCAACTGTTTTTGGTTATTACGAGAGAAACATTTCTCAAAGAAACATGACAATATGTGTCGTTCCACTCGTTCCAGATTTCGGTGGTATGTGATTATCATTAAAGAGTAGCATACATGGACTGATTTACCCGAATATGTTCTTGCAACAACATGAGAGCAATGTATTAGAAACAGTATATACAGTAAACTACGTTTATAACGAACACGCTTATAAGAAACTGAAACTTATTTTTTAGCCCCGACCATTTGTTGTATAAATGCTATATATATGCTTATAACGAACTACGGTTATTACGAACTAAACTTAGAGGTCCTTTCGGGTTCGGTACAACCGTAGTTTAGTGTATACGGAAGCACATTTACTAAGAAAATATTGTTTGCAAATACAATGTGCCAAATATTATTCAATCATCTGTACTATTGGCCATGAGACCAATAGTACAGATGACTGAATAATATTTGGCACATTGTGAAAGAGCGCTTCAATTTATATTGGCTTGGGACCGACTGTCAGCAAGGTCATAGTCACAAGACATATGTCTGTATTTTTAAATCATTTGAACAACATCTTTTGTTAAAGCTCTTCTTATTTTACAGTTGTAATCAATGATAGATATTTTTCAGGTTGTTGTAAGGATTTGTGGATGCAATTTATATCTAGTATTGGTGAATTATATATACAATCTGATACCTAAACAAATCTCTGGACCGAATATTTCCAGCATGTGTTTGATTTAACTGATATACCTGTGGTTGGGGACAACCTGGATGAGGCAGACAATTTTACGAACAGCCATGATATTAATGAGTGCAGTTACTGTAATGATGATGTTATGGATAAAATGCTAAATGCTGATATAACTGAAGAAGAAGCTATAAATAACTTGAAACTGGGTAAATCGGCACCTGAAATGGTGAAATGTTGCAGCACTTCAATCACACTATACCTAACTATAGTTTTTAATAGGAATATGCATAGCGGTGTATTCCCTAACGAGTGGACAAAGGGTATAGTAGTTCCTCTGCATAAGAAAGATAACAAAAAAGATGTCAATAATTTTAGAGGAATAACGCTGATGGATGAATTTGGAAATATGATGACAAAAGCTTTAAATGAAAGACTCAAGACTTTTGCGGAGGTTGATGACACAATTCCTGAAGCTCAGGCCGGATTTTGAAGCGGATGCATTTTTATTGGTGGTTTTGAAGGATCTATATGCTCAGATTCAGTGTGCTGTCAGCACATAAAAAAAACTCTCTTTCAGATTATTTCGAATCACTGAGCGGCGTTCGACAAGGGTGTGTGTTGAGTCCGTTTCTGTTCACGATGTTTATCCTTGAATTACAGTTTATGATAGAAAGTAGTGATTTGCGAGCGATTTTTATTGGAGAGGAGTTCATAGACATAGACTTTTACTATATGTAGATGATTTGTTTATATTCGATGATACAGTTATAGTTCTGCAAAGAAAAAAATATGTTTTGTCCTTTTTTTGTAAAATGTGGGGACTTGAAATTAACATGTCTAAAACCGAACTTTTGGTTTCAGAAGAGGTGACACTTTAAGGTATGATGAACGATGGGTTTTCAATTATCAACGTATCAGTGTTAGTACGTACTATAGTTATCTAGGTGTTCTGTTTTCAAATAGAATGTCTAAATGCATTGATACCCTCACGATTTTTTTTATATTGTTTGATATTACGACAAAGCCCATTCTTCTTTATGGTGCGGAGATCTGGGGCTGCAAAGCTGGTCAATTTGTCAATTTTTTTATACTAATCTTTGTAAATTTGTTTTAAGAATAAATAATAAATATGTATCAAGCACAGCAATATTGGCTGAGTGTGGAAGATAGGGTTTGCCTGTGGATTATTATATGAAGTGTGTTAAATACTGGTGTAAACTTATAAGAATAAATGATGAAAGATATCCCCGACAGTGTTATTTGTTAATGAAGAAGCTGGATGAATGTGGTAGAATTACTTGGGCAACTCATGTTAAATATTTACACGACATTTATGGATTTGGTTACATGTATGTGTGGCACGAGCAGAATATTGGTGATGTTAATTGTTTCTTGCAGCTGTTAAGAGTCTTGTAAAGTAAGGTATTATTCACACCTTAGGATATGATTGGATATGGAATATTATGTTACAGCTTTCAGAAATAGAGACCTTAGACGTATACTGTGCCTGTTGAGATCACCTATACGGAGTAATCTGGGCAGAAGAGAGGATATTGTTTATTCACAACGCTTTTGTCACCTATTTAACAATGGTTATATTGTGGACGAAGTCCATTTTGTGTTTGTCTGCCCGTTTTACGCATCATTGAGACAACAGGTGAGGTGAGGTGAAATGGGGTTTAACGTCGCGTCCAAGATTATTGCACTTATATAGCGACGTGCATGTACGTGTGTGTATCTGCTTGTACTAGTCCGGACTGATGCCGATTTATAGTGCTAGGTCACTGAGATACCATGCCGCAGTTTAATATGAATATACCACTCAGACACAGTATACTGACTCCGAGCCGACCAGTCCTTGTTTTAGCCCCTTAATGCGGAGCGCCAGACAGGGTAACAACAAGTACCATCTTTAAACGTCTTTCGGTATGACACGGTCGGGGATCGAACCCCGGACCTTCCTCTCTCCGGGTGGACGCTCTACCACTAGACCACGGAGGCGGTACTAAGACAACATAATATTCCTGTAACATTTTATAACAATCCATGTATGAATACCTTTGGCAATCTCTTCAATGACCAAATTGGCTGTATACTCAAAAATATAGATAAGTATGTGAAGGAAGCTCTATGATTACGTACAAAGACCTAATATTATACACTAAGTATTGTTTTCAATGTAAATTGCCTCAGTTGTGTCTTACTATATGTAACTGAAATGTTCATGGGTCTATGGCCTCCCATACATGAATAAACATATGTAAGAACTAAAGACATTTCTTGTTCTTTCCATAAATGTATAAAACATCAACTAACAACTCAACAAATAATACAAATACAGTTACATCAATCACTAGAAATACTTGTATAAACGAGTAAGTGTATTTTACTGATGATGTTTTAGAATACATGGGATGTTACCTTGATGACGCCAAGAGGATGATCGGTGCTACTTGGGTTACGCGGAACGACATGACCCATGGGTGGTGTTTAAATTATTGCAGGAAGGGTCGTCACAAGTATGCAGCGTTGCAGGTCAGCTTTATAATTAAGCATATCCGAATGTCATAAAGTTTAAACGTAAAAATGCATCTGGCTAACTGCTGACATTGAATTTGATATTTCATGAGTCTTGTGAAGGGGCGATTTTCATATTTTAAAATGTTCTCTGGTTATGAGATGCAAAGTCATAGTTTTTCTGTTTCAGTTCTACAGCTATTGCTTCTGTTGAGACTCTGATGTATTCTGGGACTTACACTAGTTTTAGCCCTTGACGAAGTAGAGTTGTCTTGTAGTGTATTGTAAAGTGATTATTTTCTCTGTTTCAGTATTTCAGCTATTGCTTCTGTGGAGACTCCATCAACATAGAAAGATATCCAAAGAAACCGGAAAGTGACTGCAATCAACCATGCAGGGGAAACAGAAGTGAGATTTGAGGCGGTTCATGGAGAAATTCCCTTTACATGATGTTCTAAAAATAAAACATTTATTAAACATTGAACTTTTCACAATCATGTCAATTTTTTCTTTTAATGTTTGTCTCTTTAAATCGAACATACAATAATGAATAATTTATATATGTAAACATAGTATGCACCTAGAAAGGTGGCATGCAAAGATGTAAGCAGAACCATCATCACTATTTCCTGAATGGCCAAACACAACTGATCAACGTACCACTTTATACACATTTGGATATAGTGCATACATGATCCCTCCAACTTCAATAACTATTTGGAATTCAGCAAATCAGTCGAGCTCAGACTTCAGTAATATCTATGTAGCATGATTGCGTCAGCCTCACACAGACAGCAGATGCTACTGTGTTCGTCAATGGCCAATATGTTGAATCCAGATGGTATGAGAGTAAATCCTGAAACAATCAGTTTTACAATATAACAGACATAAAACAATATATTCACATCACTTCATAAATATACTAATATAGTAGGTAGTATTTGTTGTAAATGCACAGGCTATGGTTGTCAGTGTTTAATACTTTCAAGTTACTTATACACATACTTATTATGATCAAGCAAATACACATTCATTTTCATGTATATGTCAAAAGTAGCTCTTCCTCGATATATAACCAAATGCTTACACCAGATATACAATATACACAGTTAATAAATTTCATATTAACGATACATATAAACGATACACAATCAACATGTAAACCTACCAGGTGTGTGGGCCTTGGTTGATACCACACCTGCGGACGATGTCGGGTATCCGTTGTGGCAATGATCACTGATGCCGGTTTTAGAGTGCTAACCTACTGATATACCATGCGACAGTTTAACGTGTGAAGGTTCAGGGAATATGTCAAAACAAACTTGATGTTTAATCATTGAATATGTATGTTAGACCTGAAAATTAAGGGCTCATGATATTAATCCCTGGATTGTCTGGTCCAGACTCGATTATTTACAGACCGCCGTCATATGGCTGGAATATACCTGACAACAAAAAAACAAAAAAACGATCATGTATATTCCCTGCGTGAATCAGACATTACATATAATCCCTGACAATTTCAGGGATGATACATATTACCTGATTTGACATAACCTGTAAGATATACACTTGCACAAGAACAAGAAATGACTTCGTAACATAACTATGAAAATGCCCGTGATCCCGATTGGAATGTTCAGTACAAGTCTACTGTAAAAACAACGATACTTTTATGAGGTAAAATCAAGCCTGCGTTGATCTCTGTTCAATAAAAGCAACAAGAACCTTTCCATAAATATAAGAAATTTCTGTCAAAAACAGAGGCGATTGTAAGATTCCGACTGTATCACGAGCAAGTGTTTATGAATAACTTTCAAATAGTGATGCTACCAGGTGTTCGCGAAAAGATGAGCGTATCTTGCCCCACCGGTGGCACCCATCACAAACACATTCAAAGTCAAGTCAATTGTCCACCTGAAAAAGACACGGGAACATATGGTACGAGTCAAAATAGGGAATTGCTTCAGACATAGTTTTTTTCATTGATATTTTGAAATGTCCTCCACCATAAACCTTTTAAAAGCTTTACTGAGAAATAGATCAGCATTACGTAGGGCGTAATTGGTACCCATGGGAATGCCTACTTATTGCCTATATGTTTTACCCCCAAAGTTTACATAGATATTATCAATGAGGAAGTCAGGTATTTAACATGCTTATTTGTTTGTCGTGTTTTGGGTCTCTTTGAGGCACTGTGTTGCGTTGACACTAGACGAAGACTGATGAGAAATTGGAGGCTGGTGGTGCACTCGGGTTGAATGTCTCAAGGATTACATTCAAGTGGCCAAGTGAAACTTACCTTCGTTTTTGCCAAGTGGTAAAAGGCGCAACAGGTCTCTGTTAAAAGTTGCGTCCCTTACACGTGCCAGGAACTGCTGGTCAGTGTTTTGAATCAAAGGTTTGCTGTGATCTTGGTCTGTTTATACCATACCAGATGCAACTGAAAAGTAGCAACATATTTGTTGAACACATAAAAATGCACCGTGAAATATCTTAATCTGAGTATTTTATTCTGCTTGTTCTTTGTCATAGGGATCATTCCGCAGATATTTGTTCGTGCCCTGAAACACAAGATATGCATTATATCTATTTGGAATGTTTATGTAGTCGTAAACGAAACTAAGTTTCACATACTCAATTCATTGAACACAGTATGATAAAGGGATCATTTTCTAAGAACAGTCAGCCAATCGGCAGCAACCTGTCGCATTTATATGCTCGTATTTGTCTACGTAATTGAGATAGATAACCAATTTCAGACAAGTTTGGTCCATATTTTACAAGTATCAGACATTCTACTATGTCACGTCATTAACATCCATTGTCATCATCCCCTAAAAACCGAGTGGAGTGCTATAGTTATCTTTACCCTTTTAAATAGTGTTAAAATTAACATGATTTGATATATGGGATGTCAAAGTTTCACACGATACATTTTAAAAACGATACAATACGAAAAATAAATACATGTTAACATAAAAACATTGAAGGTTCAAATACTCACATACTCACAGACGACGAAACTGCCGATGTATTAGTCAGTGCAACTACGATAATTATTGGCATTATCATGACTTGTGCCCCAACTCCTGGCCAGTAAACATTTATTTCCTTTCCAATTTATTTATCCGACTGGCAGAAGTAACTAAAACGGACATAAAATATTCACAATGCTCCCGTAAAACAGAACCAGTTTCCCCATTGCCTGTGATCTGTGGTTGTCGTTCTCAACTCTTTAATGTGCGACTGTTCATGACAGACCTAAGCTGTATTTAACTTAGAGGCTATGCAACTCTTCATGAAGGAAGTTAATGTTAGTTGAAGTTAATTGTACAACATGGTTTATTAAAGACTGGTTCCTTATTACTGTGAGTGTGGTTTTACGCCGCCTTTTGCAATATTCCAGCATATCACGGCGGGGGACACCAAAAATAGGCTTCACGCAGTGTACCAATGTGGAGAATCAAACCCGGGTCCTCGGCGTGACGAGCAAACGCTTTAACCACAAAGTTACCCAAACGCCGCTCCTCATTAGAGAGTAGGAGTATAATGTCGCAGAGGTGCGAGTGGGTGAATGGAGATGTACGCCCCATGAATATTACAGTGTCCGATGTGTCCAACAATACACACCGTCAGTGCACAATCACAAACAATCCAACCTATCATTATTCTGCTTTTGCGACAAGCATCGGTTCCACTTTGGATAGCCAGATGAAATGGTGAATATTAACCTGGCCGTGTGCAATACACACAGCCACAGTTGAGCACAGCCTAAAACCCAGAACATACTTACTATTCATAAACTAAAGTAAATATCAATAATCATATACGTGGTCCGATTTAAACGTTACCAAGTTGTACATGATTCATCGCTTGACTCTCTTATGTACCTTTACACCATGTCAGGAAAAACAACACATGTTGTTACCACCTCAGCAAAAGGTGATGACGATAATTCTGGTTTCCTTTACAATGACACGCACTTACATACCAAATGATACATGTATATGTAGCAATCGCGTTGTAGAAGTCAGGTCGTTTATCAACGAATATGCAGCTGTTGTTGGCAGGACAGACACAAACTTACTGACCTTGCAGCTACCAGTCATACGATGTGAATGTATTATACATTTCATGATATGAGTATTCAACAATTTAAGATTTTCGATATTATTCAGTGTCATATGCAATATTTCACTTTATAATGACCCTTATTATTTTTGAAATGTTACTGAATGAATTTGCATGATTATATATACTCACACGCAAAAGAAACGCAAGTGGTTTTAACCAAATAGGTAACAAACACGGAACTATAAATTGATACGAGTTTTAGAATGTAGTGAAGCCTGATGGTGTTATCAATATTTTTGGTTGCATTTTGGAAGCCCCGAGTAAAAACACAACATAAACAACAAATTCCCAAAACGCACAATCTCAATGAATATGTGGGCATCATGCACCCATTTCTCGCGAAATCGAAAATGCACGAACTGTAGTGGGTATATAACTGTGGCCGATTCTTGGACCTACCACTCCTTGGTCAACAATGCCACGCCTAACTCAAATTCAGAGAAACCATGGCCAGGCTATCGGACGTTTGGAAGCTGGAGAGTCTGTCCAAGATGTTGACCGTCATTTCAACGTTAACATAACTACAATTTACCGTCTCCTGCATCGATATAATACCACACAGACCACAGATGACCTTCCTCGGAGCGGTCGTCCTAGGGTCACCACACCTCGACAAGATCGGCTGATTACCCGTCAACACCAGCGACATCCGTTCCTAACTGCAAATGAAAGTGCTCGACAGACCATAGGAACACATAATCGACACATTAGCCGGGACACTGTGATCCGACGTCTCCGTTCCAACAACCTCAGATGTCGCCGACCAGCACGCCGTCCTGTTCTCCAACCACGGCATCGACAAGCACGACTTCAGTGGGCACAGGGTCATCACAATTGGCGTCATCGTGAGTGGAGGCGTGTCATCTTCTCTGATGAAAATCCCTTTGGTGTCTCCCATGCAGACGGAAGAGTCAGAATTTGGCGGCGTCGATGTGATCGTTTCGCTGACAGACCTAGCGTCATGATATGGGCAGGGATTGGACTTAATGCGAGACTTGGACCCATGTGGTTTCTGAATGTTGGTCAAGGTCGGGGACACGGCGTCACTGCTCAGCGGTATATCGACCAACTAATCAGACCCCACGTTGTTCCAATTTTTGCGGAAACATCAACAACACATTTTCCAGCAGGACAACGCTCGTCCCCATGTTGCCAGAGCTACCATGGCCTCTCTGCAACAACACAACATCCGTGTTCTACCGTGGCCAGCATTGAGCCCTGATTTGAACCCCATCGAACACTTGTGGGATGAGGTTCAAAGGCATCTGCACAAATTGCGCCCAGTCCCTACAACTGCCGATGAACTACGCACAGCTGCTCTGGATGTGTGCAGGAGGATCCCTAGGGCCTTCAAAAATCGTCGGATCCACTCAATGTCCAGGAGATGTGTGGCAGTGATCAATGCTGATGGTGGTCACTCCAGATATTGACTGACATTTTGGGTATTGACCCGAAACTGTGTAAGCCCTAACATTTGAAAAAAAAACAATTATGCCATCTGCCTTTTAATCCATTAAACTGTCAATTTTTTGTCAATCTTGCCCTATTAGTATTTCTTGTCTTTACTGTTGGAAATAAATAACATGTATACTGCATACTCGACTTGCGATTCTTTTGCGTGTGAGTATATATACAAAAGTACTTAATTAATACTTAAATGTTTGTATGACTGGTGAATGTTTAAAGTTCAAATACCCTGGATCGCGCCCATGACGCCTA